TATTCCTTCTCTTAGACTGGTTGCATCTCAAGTATAGATTATTTAATCTACCCTGATAATTGACCCATAACTGGGGGAAGAGACTGGTCTATATTTTTCCCAAAGTAATTTGTGCGAAAGTGAGCTCAACAGAGTAAAGCAGGGATTCGAACTTGTCTCGCTGTTTTCACGTTATGTGCTGATAAGCGTTGCAAAAATCGCCTCCTCCTTTTCTATTATAGATTCGAAAAATAATTTCTGATATTTTCGAAATGTTGAATTTCATAATTAATTAGACATTTCCCCACCATGTCTTATAATTTTGATTAAGGCATCACTTATTGGGAGGCGAATTAACTGGGTTTCCAGTATGTAATAATAGTGTATTGAACGCCAGTCTTGACTCAACACTGTGTTACTCGAAGCTGTCTATTCCTGGGAAAATAAAACCGTCCGCTTGATACATCATGTAAAAATATGAGCGTACTGGGTATTATTTTGTCTTTCTATTCTTCCCTTGTGTTCATTTGAAATCCTACAATCGATAATTCGATCAATTGACTCGTCAAAGGCCGAACCGATAAATGTGTGAAAGAAAAAGTAAAGAGAAAGAAAAAAAATCCGTAGTGAGAAGAGGAAAAGACCGAAAAATAGAGAAAGAGAAAAAGAGATAGAAAGTGAAAGTAGAAAAATAAAGGGAAATAACGATAAAGCGTAAAACCAAGAACGAAAGAAAGAAAGAAGGAAAGAAAGAAGGAAAGAAAGAAAGAAAGAAGGAAAGAAAGAAAGAAAGAAAGAAAGAAAGAGAGATAGAGAGAGAAAGTGAACGTAGAAAAGTAAAGGGAAATAAAGATAAAACGCAAAACCCAAAGAGAGAGAGAGAGAGAGAGAGAGAGAGAGAGAAAGAGAAAGTGAAAGTAGAAATATAATGATAAAGATAAAACGTAAAACCCAGAGAAAGAAAGAAAGAAAGAAAGAAAGAAAGAAAGAAAGAAAGAAAGAAAAAGAGTGAGATGGAAAGAGAGAGAGAGAGGGGGGGGTAGAAACGCAAATCCCAGAGAGAAAAAGAAAGAGAGAGAGAGAGAAATAAAAAGTGAATAGAAAAAAGTAAAGGGAATAAAAGGTAAAACGCAATACACAAAAATAAAGAGAGAGAGAGAGAGAAATTAAAAGAAAAGTAAAGGGAAATAAAGATAAAACGTAAAACCAAGAACGAAAGAAAGACAGAGAGAGAGAGAGAGAAAGAGAGAGAGAGAGAGAGAATGAAATAGAAAGTGAAAGTAGAAAAATAACGGGAAATAAAAATAAAACACAAAACCCAGAGGAAAAGAAAGAAAGAAAAAGTGTGTGTGTGAGAAAAATAAAGGGAAATAAAGGTAAAATGCAAAACTTACAGTGAAAGAAAAAAGAAAGAAAGAAAGAAAGAAGGAAGAAAGAAATAATAAAAGACACAGAGAGAGAGAGAGAGAGAGAGAGAGAGAGAGAGAGAGAGAGAGAGAAAGTGAAAATTGAACATAAAAGGGAACATGTGTAAAACGCAAAATCCACAGGGAAATAAATAAATAAATATAAACATAAAGAAAGAAAGAAAGAAAGAAAGAGCGAGGTAGAAAGTGAAAGTAAAAAATTAAAGGGAAACAAGGGTAAAACGCAAAATCCACAGGGAAAGAAAGAAAAAAAGAAAGAAAAAAAAAAGGAATAAAAGAAAGAGCGAGGTAGAAAGTGAAAGTAAAAAATTAAAGGGAAACAAGGGTAAAACGCAAAATCCACAGGTAAAGAAAGAAAGAAAGAAAGAAAGAAAGAAAGAAAGAAAGAAAGAAAGAAAGAGGTAGAAAGTGAAAGTAGAAAATTAAAGGGAAGCAAGGGTAAAACGCAAAATCCACAGGGAAAAAAAGAAAAGAAGAAAGAAAGAAAGAAAGAAAGAAAGAATAAAAGAAAGAGCGAGGTAGAAAGTGAAAGTAGAAAATTAAAGGGAAACAAGGGTAAAACGCAAAATCCACAGGGAAAGAAAGAAAGAAAGAAAGAAAGAAAGAAAGAAAGAGAAAGTGAAAGTAGAAAATTAAATGGAAACAAGGGTAAAACGCAAAATCCACAGGGAAAAAAAGAAAAGAAGAAAGAAAGAAAGAAAGAAAGAAAGAAAGAAAGAAAGAAAGAAAGAAAGAGGTAGAAAGTGAAAGTAGAAAATTAAAGGGAAACAAGGGTAAAACGCAAAATCCACAGGGAAAGAAAGAAAGAAAGAAAGAAAGAAAGAAAGAAAGAAAGAAATAAAGAAAGAAAGAGCGAGGTAGAAAGTGAAAGTAGAAAATTAAAGGGAAACAAGGGTAAAACGCAAAATCCACAGGGAAAAAAAGAAAAGAAGAAAGAAAGAAAGAAAGAAAGACGAAAGAAAGAAAGAAGGAAAGGAAAAGAAAGATATCTCAGATGAATACACAAAATAAAGAGAAAAAAAAGGCTGATAAAACTGAAAAAAAACTAGAGAAAATAATGAAAATGAAAGATAAAAGAAAGGAAGAAATGAAAATGAAAAAGGCGTAAGTAAAAAAGAATAAGGAAAAAGATAGAACGAAAGAAAGTGAGATAAGAAGGAAGATCACAAGAAAAAGAAAGTAAAAGACTGCGTGAGAGTGGAGATTTGAGATAAAGCATTTGGAATGAAAAGGAAAGAAAAAAGAGAGAAATGTAGGAAAGAGAGGACATCTGAGAGAGAGAGAGAGAGAGAGAGGGAGAGAGAGAGGGAGAGGGAGAGAACGAATGTGAGAACGTCCATGGAAAGAAAGAGAACAGAGAAAAAGAGCGTGAGTAAATGAAAAGCTCTATAAATATAGGGAAAGAAAGAGCTAGGAAAGGAAAGGAAGAAAAAGAGAGAGAGATGAGAAGAGCGCATATCTAATAAAAAGAGAAATAAAGAGATAGAAAGATAAAATAAGAACAAAATAGAGAGAGAAAGGGGGAGATGAAAGAGAAAGAGAAAACGAGAACCAGAGAAAATAGAAAGAAAACGTGAAAAAGAGGAGGAAGAAGATAAATCATAAAATGGGAGAAAAAAGAAGGGACATTTTAGAAAGAGAGGGTACGCCTGAAAGTTAAAGAGAAAGAGAAAGAGAGAGAGAGAAAGAGAGGGAGAGAGAAAGAGAGGGAGAGAGAGGGGGGAGAGAGATTACCGGAAAAAAGAAAAAAAAAAAGGTAGTAAATAAGAAAATTCTTTCTTTCTCTATATTTCCTTTCATGGGAAAGAAAAAGTTAAGAGAAAAAGTGACTAAAAAACAAGGGAAAGAAAATTGAACTCCCCACCAAAAAAAAAAAGCAGCAAAATCAGATACAAAGAAAGAAAGAATGGGAAAGAAGAGAGAGAGAGAGAGAGAGAGAGAGAGAGAGAGAGAGAGAGAGCAGAGAGCAATTCAAAAGCAGAAAAAATAAATTAAAAAATAAGAAGAGTAAAGGGAGCTAAATCATTTGAAAAACAAGAAAGAAAAAGAGAGAGAGAGAGAAAAAAAATAGAGATAGAATCTTAAATAGAGAGAAGGAGAAAGAAAAGAAAGAGAATGAGCCAGGAGAGAACAAACTATCCATAACAAAATTATGAAGAGTTTCCTACAAACATGGCGGCCGATTGATAAAATCAAAGTCTGTTTATCTGCCCTGTACACTTTTCAGAGATGAACGGTTATTATTAATATTATTTTTTTTTTGACCAACTTGTTTTTATTTTTCAGTTTCATTCATATCAATCGATGCCGTCTTTGTTGCCTAACATATACTCTCTGAAACAAATTCCCAGGACAACACACCAGAAAACTATCAATATGTCGATCTCTCTTTTGTCTATAACAATGAACGTACATGACCGTATACAGATAATATAAACGGGAGGAGAAACAGAAAAATCTTCTTGCGATCTCATAGATAGTTAAACAATCTATCTATCTATCCATCTATCTATCTATCTATCTATCTATTCATCTATTTATCTATCTATATATCTATCTTCTCTTTTTTTAAGCGTTTCACCCCCAAGCAAGTCGGGAAGCCACTAGGACGCAAGGGGTTACAGAAAATTTGGAGCAAGATCAGATAGGAGTGATAGAGGAAAAGTTGAGGAGAAGGATAGTGGATAGATCATGGCAACTGGAGATGTCGATTGACATTACATTTGAAAAGTTCGAGATTATAGCTCTCAGGGAAACTGGAATAGGGAAGGGAGTTCCACAGGCGAGAGGTGCAAGACATAAAGCTATTGGAGTAGAAGAGACGGCACAATTTAGGAGTTTTGACAGTGAAAGGGTGAGAGCGGGATGCCAGCCTCGTAGGCCGCTTGAACTCATGAAGTCTGGGAACCAGTGAATGCAGCTCCTCGGAGCAATTGCCATGAAAGTATTTGTAAAACAGACAGAGAGAGGCGAAAGCGTCTGTGAGAAAGTGACTGTAGACGAGATGCCAGAGCAGGGCCAATAATATTGCATATGCGCCTCTGGAGCCTATCAAGAGCCCCGAGGCAAACAGAAGGGGCTCCAGACCATATATGGCAGAAATACTCTATGCAAGAGCGAATGGTTGATTTGTAGATCTGGAGGATCGATTCCGGGGAGAAAAATTTCCTGGCGCGGCACAAGGAGCCAACTTTCCTTACGGTGGACGAAGCAATTGACTTAATGTATTTGTTCCATCTCAGGTCAGCAGTCAACGTGAGACCAAGCAGCCGCAAAAAGGTGCTCTCGTGAAGTTGAGCGTCAGACATTTTAATAGAGGGCAGGGAAGGATCTCTGTGGTGATTAATAGAGAGCAGTTTTGTTTTTAAAGCATTAAAGTTGACCAGCCAATTCCTACCCCAGTTCACAACCGATTG